AACTTGTTCATTCCAATATAATTAATTTGTATTTTAAAAAGGTTTTTCTTATCCAAAGCTATTCAATTGTATTAAATGCCAAATCGGGAGAAAAAGTACCAAGCAGAAAATAAATTGCCAAATTAATCACCAGTGGCAACTGTGCAAGTGATCAGCTGTTTCGAAGGTTGCAAGTTTTTGAAAATTTTGCGTTCTCGTACTGCTGTTAATAATTCGTCTCTTTGACAGCTAATGCTGCTAAATTCTAAGAACTTTTTCAGCTGGAGAATTTTGTTCTCTAAATACGAGTACACACCTATTAATGCATATTTAGGGGATTCACAAGACGTGTTAACCGTCGTAAAATCTTAAGGTTAACATCTTTTTTAATTAAAATGGTTTTAGGGGATTTCTAACTAAACCGAAATTCTTTTAAACTGATAAAGAATATATAATTAGCCAACCCCCCAACCATTTTAACCGCTATTTTACATAAACAAGTGTTAAGCTTAAGATTTTACGACGGTTAACACGTCTTGTGAATCCCCTAATTAAGTCAACGAAAGACTTAAGACACGAACTTTTCTTGCACAGAAAATAAGCAGTGCACCCGAATCATAAACGGTCTGGAAATCGAAATGGTCCAGCTTTACTCTGGCTTAGAAATGACAATTCTTACTGAAACTATTTTTCACTGTTTGTTCTTATTTTATTCGCGTTGAAAACGTTCTCCGTACTTGCATTCGTTGCTTGAGAACGCTCCCGAGTCTTTTGTGCGCATTTTGTTCTTTACAGCTCTCAATACGTTTGTTCCCGTTTGGTTCTTTGGCCGGCAAGTTCTTGATATTACATTTTGTTCTCGTGCAAAACTAAATCAAAATCGGAACGCGTTCTTGGACCTCGCAGAAATTTTAAGAAAAAGCAATTACTTAGTTCTTATTTATACGGTTCAATCTTCAGGCTCTAATTTCAAACTGTAACGAATCCAAAAAGTTACAGAAGAATGGGCACAAATAAGATTAAGATTAATATTTCGACAGAGATTCTAATTGCGGTTGAGGCTAAGATTGGGATTGAAATAAAGATTAAGATTAAGATGAAGATTAAGTTAAGATTAAGTTTAAGCAAAATATTGTCGAGGTTTCTAGATAGTGGCTTCAATGTCCCGAGAATGCCAGTGCTACAACTGGCTGCAGCCTAAGAAATATCTGATCTGAGGTCTCTCCAGTCTAATGTTCCGTAGTGTTATTATCAGGAGCTACAGTGATCTGGAACCCAAAGTAAATAACGTAGTTTATGTATATCAACTTAGTTTAGTCGAGACTTGGATTGCCGGGCTCATTTGGAAAATATTAGAGTACTGGTCAGTGCCTTAAGTCCCGCTTGGATGTCACTACAAACAAGTAAAATTTTATCTCTTCAAGTACTCTTTTCTTTTCAGCCAGCACTCAGAGATATTGTGACTTTAAAGGCCTTCTCGTGGATGAAGATAAGTCACGGTAAGTTTGGCAATGCATCCAGAGCATCACCATGTGTCTTAGGGGAAGCTCCCGTAAACAAATTTTCCACGCTATTGACTGAAAGTTTGCTTTATCACTAAACTGAATAAAGAGACTTAACATAAAGGTGTCAATCCACAGTACCCCTCTAGGTGACCAGAATGCTGTTAAGGCTTTGAAAATAGGGATGCAAACGATGATTCCACATTTTTGAAACATCGATAATATCGGTTCAAAATTCGATGTTTACCATCGATGTTTACAATTTCCTAAAATCGCTTAATTGACGATACATCGATGTCAGTTTCAACGATGTTTTAAACATCGACTTTATTCTGGCTCCATGTGTGGAATCCGAGTTTACTCGTAGCTTTCAGTATTAAGAATGCTAACCTAATCATTAAAAAAGGATGGGACTCCCGTTAGAATTTTAACCAAATTAGGCTTTGGAACTTTTTATCGAAAAAAAAGGTCAGATTTTTCAAATTGAAACTGTTGTCCCCCATTCTCTCTCTCTCTCTCTCCTGTCGCGGGGATTTTCAAGGAAATGAGTCCCTAAAAGAGCTGATAGTCTCACTTCTTGCCACCGTGAATGAACCAATAGGCCTCTGGAGCGAACCTGGCTAATCTTTTTTAAGAAATTTTCTCAGCGTAGCAGTGAAACTCAAAGTATCCATATCGCTGTAGTTTTTTTTTTAACGAAGCCCTATACGAAAAATGAATTATCTTCTAGTACTCCTAAAAGTACCATCCTAAAAGTGAAGCTAAGAAGATACGAGGCCGACAAGCTTTATTAAGTCATTACGAATGGCAGCCATTACATAAATCACCTCCTCAATCTAAATTACAATTAATAACACATATCCATTCTATTAATTATTATATATATGTATTATGTATTAGCAAAATCACTACACCTCACAGTGTATGTATTGAACGGCTCATATATATAAATTATTTATGTGCATTTTTCTTTTTTAGCTTTTCGCAATTTCGTTACTAGTTTACGTATCATTGTAAATGATGTAATAACAGGTACCATAATGGGCAGGAACAATGGAATGTATATGGCATATTTTTGTTCGTCTGGAAAGTATAATTGCGCCAACAAGCTGGCATCGAAAAATGCGTGTTCAGAGGCGATGAAGGCGCTTCTTGCGTAATTGGAGGCAGCTAACAAATTACCGCTTGCCAACGTCTGCTTCGCCAAAAGCACTCTTTTATAGGCATTATTAATGGATTGGCCCACATCATCATTGATGACAATATAACTGATATTATCTGGAATTAAGGGGAGAAAAAGCTATTTTGCAATGAAATTCAAATATGAAATGTACGCCACTGCTTTACCCAACAACTTAATGAGACTCTGCAATGTATTACTTGCTGTGGTGATATGCATTACAGCGCTACGACGTATGTAGGCTTCATATTCCCAACGACGTGGTTCTATTTGCTCTAAGGCCACAGTCTTGACGCCATCAATATTAAACTGTAAGTAAAAGCATAAACTGCATAATAATAGGAGTAACTATCAAAATAAGTGCAAGAGTTCTCACCTCTACATTTATGTCTAACAACTTTTGCAATTGATACAACATGATTTGCATAACATCGTTTGTATTCACATAAAATTCGACAGGCTGCTGAGCGGCGTTGTAACTTACACACGCCTCTGCGGGTGGATTGGCAATGATAATGCCACCCCATTTAGGTGATATAAACGAGTCCACTTTTTGGCGCGTAGCTTGTTTATTGTGACGATTATAAATGTGCACAGGTGCTATATCGCATGGTGTTATATAGACCACTAAATTGATAGCTGGCTTGGCAGTTATACCAACGCCCAAATTTTTCTCGATTGAGGTAATAATATGCGGCAAGTCGGTCTCGCCCAAAGCATAATGACGGCCTAGTTTCGAACTGTCGCGCACCTGCTTTAAGTCCGCCTCAAAAGGTAATTGATACTTCCATTGCGTCGTAAGGGTATAATTGGATATTTGAGAAACTTCTTTTAGAAATGGTGCAATGTAAGCTATGAGAGAAAAATTAGAGGTAAACCAAATGACAGAATACAAATAATTTTATGTACGCTCATTAGATCGTTCCCACGACAGTCGGGTCTACGTAACCGGAACGACCCAGATTTATATCTGGCCAAGGACTGTCACTCCAGCAACACTCCCCAAAAAGTCTTTGGGGAATTTGTATGCTGCTACAACAACAACAACAGAATACAAATTCTCAATATAGACAAAACATACTTTCTACAGCCATGCGTACATTCCACTTGGCATTCATTATGTCCGGGCGTGGGTTTAGTATCGAAACAACAACATCGTACTCGGTCTGTGGCGCTTCGCTCTTCACCCCGTGCCGGTGATCCTCGTTCAGTATTTGTTGTATACGATGTGTTTGTAGAATAAGCAGATTTATGACGTGCTTTATACGGCTAGCAGCTGCAGGGCATTCAAAATGGTAACTCCATGTGGGAAATAATAATAATTTGTTGCGGTCAACTCCGGTAACTTACAAGTATCGCTTCGTATTAATGCAGACCGGTCGGACGTAAGTAAAACTTCTTCCTGAAGCTTAGGCCACTCAATGAAAATAAAATCACCTGCTCGGATTTCCTCTTGTTTCAACAATAGACTTTCGAGGGCAGCAGGTGTCTTCGTGTTAAAAGCCTTTTCGAATGGTACAATTTGTACAAATTGTGGTCGCCATAAATCTAAATTTGTACAAATTTAAGTTTAATTTGAATACAAAATTAGTTTAGACAATAAGCAAACCATTGTTGGCATAAACTTCAGTTAACTCCTTGACTAGTAGTTCCGCTCGCGACTTCTCAAATGAAAATATGGCAATTTTGTTGGCGATTTCCAAAGGCTCATCGCTCAAACTCATGATGTCTGCTGATGGCAAACTGACTCTGTAGAGAGGGGAAATAATTTTATTAGAAATAGAGTTTAATAGAAAATTACCAATGAAAGTGATTTACCTGTAAACTTCCGTTGTTTTCCACCACATCGGTACGCCCACAATAATGACCACAATCATAAAAGCCATCGAAGCAACGAGGCGGTATTTGTCTAAAAAGGAACAGAAATTGCGAAAATATAAATAAACTCATGTGGTATCTCCTTGGTCGAGTCGCAAATGTGACAGAGATTATACAACCATATCCTCAACTTATGCAGATGCCCTCTTCGTCTGCAGTGTGCCGTAAGGATAACTATTAGTATTTTTAAGAGTTTCTAGTGAGCAGCTGATTAGAATTTGGAAAAATCTTCTTGTTATAACTCTGACTTTTCCTGGCGAAGGTCATCCCACCGAAGAATTGCTCTCCTTTCTGAGCTATTTCTTAATAGTGTTGGGATAAAAATATAAAAAATAAATTTTTAAAAAACAGGACAAGAAATTCAAGAATTTCAAAATGCATCATCCTTTGGTACTGATTTAACTAAACCCCTTTTCGCGTACGGTTTTACTATAACAATTTAAATAAAACCACGATATACGTAAGTAATTTCAATACAATTTCAAGCGTATAAATTTATTCATCTCCTCTTAAGGAGAAGGGAACTAATTAAACAAACATTAAATTTAAGATCATTTAAATTAAAAATATAATTATCGCACTGATAACCCAGTTGATTATATTTGTGCGTCGCAATTCAACATATCAAAGTTCGGCATTCCAGTCTACTCTTTATAACTGCATGAAATCACATAGACTGGTCCTCTTTCTAGCGGTGTATTGCGCGACACATATTTAGTGAATTTTGTTGTTCCTTCACAACGGTACACAATATTCAGTGCATTATCAACTGGCGTAATAGTTAGCAATACAGAATCATCTTCCTCGCCGGTGTTATAATCATCATTGTTTCGCGGTTCATCCGCATCGGGTGACAGATATGTAACAACAGCAGCACCTTCGCTAGCATTCAAATAGTAAATTAAGTCCAATGTATTTTCGTCGCATATGGCTTCATCGCCCAGCACAGTGTAGTTGCCGTGCGACCAACGTTGAACTTGTAAATTGTACGTTGGGCTAGTTGCATTTGGCCCAGCCAAGTCCAGATCTGTATAGTCACGCAATAAGGCAAACATTTCTGCGCTTGCAAAAAGTTCAATTAAGCGTGATATCGTTTTGCTTGCTGTATTGATGTCGAGTACTTCATAATTGTGTGCATTCGCCGGTCCTTCCAGTCGCCATTTTAACGTATCGTCTTTGAGTAGTTGTTCCATGGCCTGTTCAAAAGTTTCACGCCTTAAAAATTCATATAAACAAATTTCGGAATTATCTTCTATGCGTTTTTGAATACTTTTTTTGGTTTGCGGTTTTAAGTACACCTCATTTAATAATTCATTTATATCGATTGCTACGTTATTTGCTGGAGAAATAAAATCTAGTTTAGACAATGGACGCATTATATCAGCAATCATGTCATTGTTAGACGCTCCATGAAACCAACCATTTATGGTTAGACGTGGGTAGTCGTAAGAAGTGACTTCACCGACTTGATGAAATGAACGGGAGCCCACTTTGAAAAAGGCGAATTGGTTATTTTTTGGTGATATTTTTCGCTTTACAGGAAATAGAGGAAAGCAGTTTTCATCACTACCGAATAGCTCGAGACACCCTCCTTGCTCTTCACGCCAATTTTCTACACTCTCCCACGGGGATAAGTAATAAATGAATGCAATCTGCCTATCTTTTAATAAGTCGTCGTGCACCAGCAAGTAGTCTCCGCAGGTATACATAGAACAGGACGCTGATACATAATCCAACTTTAGGCCTGTTAATGCCTCCAGCCAAGGCCGCACTGTTCGCCGTAGCATTTGCAGAAAACTAGTAAGTAATTTACATTCGGCCATATTTGATAAATCAGTACTTTGGTAAAATTCGTACAAATCCATTTGCTTCCGAGACCATTGTACCTTCTGTACCATCTCATCAACAAGTTGTCGGCAGGTCCTTTTGTTTTGCAGCAGATCTGGTAGCAGACACACCTGAAACGGATCTCTAAACACCTTTACTGACGTGGATAAATCATGATAGTCTTCCTTATCTTGAGCACTCCACTGTGCTTTCAATTGCTCTGCAAACGATGGTGATGTATATGAGTGATTCAGCGTTAAGTCCGCTGTGGTTTTAACATTCAGACTGAGCTTTGGTAACTTGCTACGGGGTTCATCGTCTACGGTTCCAATATTAAAACCACCATTATTAGTTTCAGCAACTGCAAAAGCAATACAATGAATTTTATTGTATTAACCAGTAAAATGTAAAACGCATACCTTATCAAGTACAAATGTTTGTTAAAAATAAACTTTTATTTTCAAAGGACTGTTGTTTAGAGAATGTCTCCTTATTAAGGGCACTGAAAACACTTGGAAGCAGTTAAGCAGTGTGAAATATTTTGTTTTGATGCAATAATATTTCCAATTATTTTCGCAGAGGGGCCCATTTTTTGTTAGGCGACAGCCTCGCCCTGCACATGGGCTGAGACAGACTAAATAAAAACATATTTTCGAGCTTACCTTCACCATCAGCAATGTCCTCATTTGTGCTTATAGCCTTTGACCTTTCCATGTTTCGTTTTTCTGTTAGTTTCCTTATTTTCAATAAATTATGCACCAAATAAAGCCGATTTTCTTTTCTTCAATAACGTGTGAAAATATTTTTTCGCACCTGACGGCAAAAAGCCGTGTGTCAGACCCAAGACAGAGTGGGAATGTCGAAAAAACATCGATGCATCGAAAATCTCGATGTTTTGCTTCGATGTATCGATGTTTTTTAAAAACTGACATTGCCGGTACATTGAACCGTCATTCCAGTTTTTCAATTGTTCAAAAAAGAGAAGTGACTTTGTCCAAAAAATTTAAATGGCTGCAAAAAAAAATCCGTTAAAAACATAATTAGCTCAGTTTCAGTAATTTATTACAATTTTTCTACAATTTTGCTAATAACAGTCGCGATCCCGTACGAGTCCGGACTAGTGAGAATCAGTTAGATTTTACTGGAAATCGATCCCGTACTCGCAAAGCTAATTTATACAAGATGGTAGCAAGAATACAACAAACAACAACCACATGTATTTTGTACATGAACGAAAGACACAAGATCACGCCTTCCCAAAAGAAAGAAAAAAGTTATTTTCTAGCTGTTGAAATCTCGACGCCATCTTTGTTGTAAGAAGTAAACAAAGAAGAGAACAAAAAAAACGCGTAATTGTTGAAGGCATGAATAATCATTTTTATTATGCAAATTCTTCTATAAATCATGTCGTTGTATTAAATTATTCTTTACCTTATGTGTGCACACGTTGTCACAAGCGAAAATTAAGAAAATTGCCGTAAAAAGCCACCACCAAATTGTAAACAACGAACAAATGTAAACAAACGGCGAATGTCAAGGTCGCCCAACTTTTTTCCTAAATGCGATTATAACGGGCTACTAAGAAGAAGGCGTGATCTTGTATTTTTGGTTCATGTCAAGGCGAATTTATACAAGGTGGTGTTACTGGCGAATTCAGATTACAACAACGACAACCACATGTATTTTGTATGGAGGATGTTATGTCAAATCCCAATTCGCTCCAAAGTTTACATGAATTTTGTTTTTGTTTGAAAGTGGGTGGAGTTCTGCCGGCAGGAGAAGCCATACAATTTAGACACCAGCGTAAGGAAAACGATGAAATACCACAAACTACAAATTAAAATCGGAGGTAAGCAAGCATCGACCACTTTATGCAGGAAAACATGCGCTGCGACAAGATGTTATCACTTTTTCGGCACCTGCAATACAAACACAAAAACTCTAAATAGTTAATTGATAAGACCTATTCTTTTGAACACATTTCAAGAGTGGTTGTATATTTTTTGTTAACGTTGTGCTTAATTCGCCATATACAAAGATGGCTTGAGAAATTGGTGAATCGTGAAGAAAACATGTTTTCTCACTGCAAATTCACAGCTGTCAACTCATTGTTCTTCGCCATATTCTTTGTTTACCCGTTGCCACAAATGTAATTCTGCGGGAATGCGCAATCTTGTATTCTATCGTTCTTGGTGGAAAACTATGTTTTGTATATTTTTATAACTGGAAAAAATTTATTTGAATGGAAAAAAACGCCTAATTGGCGCGAATTCGGCAAATCTGGACACTCTGATTCAGTACAAAGCAGAATTACAACAAACACATCATTTTGACAAAAGATACACATTCGCCGTGAAATCGGTGGATTCGATAACAGCACCTTGTATAGATTCGTCTTGCCTCGAATCAAAGAAAAACATCGATGTATTTTTGCCACCCAGACATCTTTAAGCCAGAGGTGTTAGTGATTTTATTTTGCGTTGCCACATGTTAGGCACGTTGGCATTTCGTATTTCTGCTCATTTGCCCGAAAATGTAAAATCAAACCTAGAATTCGCAACAATAGTGCGCAGTTGCATATTTGGCAATTGATTTTAAATTTAAACTGCAGCGCCAAATAACTTAAGGAGGCAATAAAGTTGGCGTTCTGCAAATCGTCGTCCACAAACTAAAATCGCTGAATATTTGGGCGTGTACATCACACATCAATTCTTAAAATGCTGCCTTTTCAGAAGTCGCATCCAACATACGTTTCTAATTAACATTTATCATATCGTATGAAAAACCGCCTATACAAGCATTTTTTATAAATAACAATTTTTTTATTAAAATATTCAAAATTAACAGAATCTTCAACGTGACATATGAATAGTAGAAAAAAAGTAAACAAAACCTTCTAGGTTTTAAATACCTTTTATAATACAAATAATATTAGGTCATAATGGCCAAGAGACTAGCAAAAAATATAAAACGGATTTAGGCAAAAACCTTTTGAAGCTATATTAACATTCGAATAGTTAAGCTATATCTCGGCTACACTTTCCCAAAATTTCGAATGAGTAGCATCGTCTTTGCTTAGCGCCAACTGATATGCAACCTCAAATGCCTCACCCAACGTTAAAATAATTTCGTGCGAAAGCTCCTGGAAACCAAGAATAAATAAATTAAACATTTAGCAAAATTTTAAACTCCCATATTACCAAATTATCCACCATAAAAACGTGGCAGTAGTGAATGTCCTCCTCCTTCGTTATATACGCAAAATAGCGCAAGTCCTCAGCATCCTGACATACACAATTGATATTTTCAATGTCGTGTATGCAAATGGTAGACTTGAAAATTAGAAAATAAATTAAAACATGCAACTGTTCATATTAATATGCATAAACATATAATTTTTTAAAATCCTAGGTTTTACAAGCTTCAGTTTTCTACAGTATATGCGCTTCAAACTTGTCCTTAAAGTATATTTTTTAAATGATCTTTAAGTTAAAACAATTTATGATCAAATAGAAAAATTTCGCTGTAGCAAAATGTTAAGAGGTGATAGATTATACCCAAAGATTCGCACTTACACTATTTTCTGCATTCAGAAACTTCACTCCAGCAGAGGAAACCGCAAGCCCAACTCTAAGGCGTGTATCCTGATTAGACTCTTTTAGCATTTTGGTTAGACTATTACAATCCTTCAGCAGGTTGGATTCTCGTTCTTTAACCACTGGCAGTGGTGTAGCGTTGCGTTTAAATTTCAGTATCGATTTTCGTGTGGAAGCAGTACCACGCAATTCTCTAATGACTGTTGACCCCAGATACTGAAATTAAAAAAAAATATAAATATGTACATATGTATGTAAATTTACATTAAGACAAATTTTCCAAAAAAAAACGTTGGTGTCCATACATAGACGGTGTAAAGTATTTGTCCAAAGATAAGGGTGTTCGGCGAGTGGCACCAGTTGCTATTGCAGTCATTGTTATTGCCCAAGCACAAGTCTGCTGGCCTGCGTATTTGCAACGTGTCTTTCGTGACGTTAAAAGTAGTTGTTTGTTCGGTTCCAAGCTCCCCTTTTAAAGTCTTATCCACCTTATTAACTTCATTGCCGATACTCTCTAGAATCGTGTCGATTTCGGCCCAAACCTTCGCATCATTAAAATCTTCAATGCTGATAGAATTATTTTTCTGCTGTGAAATGTTTCGCTTAGGTGGAAGCGGTTTTATTGAGCGCACCAAACTTGGTGAACGTAGCCCACTAGATATATGATTATTGGAAAAGCCGTCTTCCTTGCCATCCATTGTTAAATTTAATGAGGAGCCTTTAAAGAGACCTGCAGGATAATACATTAATAAATTTAACTCTATAAAAATAACTTTCAGCTTGCCGGCAAAAGGAGCATCACCCACGAACTCCTCCACGCAATCTGACACTCGAGAGTTTGTTGGAGAATCGGGAAGCTCAAACAGATTAATTGCGTCTACAATGAAAGATTCCAAGTCAGAATGCGGATTTTGCTTCAGGCCTACGGATTGTCGTTTGCTCTGCACACTTCGGGGACGCATAAATTCGAGTATTGTGTGCTCCGCTTGAGAAACCGATGGCGGCGGGAAGTCGGGTGTAGGCGAATGCTTCTTATCACTTACGTTTTTGCAACCATTAAGATAATTGGTATTGTTGTTTGCGTCTTTCTTGGCAGCTTCTGCAATTAATGGCTGCGTCGGTGGGCTTTGTGTCTGTAATCTAAAAGAAGTAATAGATATTTATATAGAAAGCGTAAAGTAAGGATGTGTAAGAAAATGATAAGTGGTGTTATTTTTACTTACTCCCGCGACGTTGATAGTGATAACACTGCTGCCGATTGCGTGCGATTAATATTTGAATTTGATGTGGTTAAAATGTGATTGATATTGATATTGGCATAGTCATTGGTTCTTATGGAACGCGGGCTTGGTATTGGTTTTTTCGGCGATGAAATGCTTGATGTCGAGCATGTAATAGTAGTATTTAAATCAGTCATTTCTACATACTCATCCACATACCGCTGTCGCTGATATATTGTGGCATTAGTGCTTATGGAATACGAGCTTGGTAAAGGCATTTTCGGTGCTATGTTTGGTGAAGAGCGTGTAAAAGCATTTGAATTAGTCATCTTTACATACTCGTCAACATTGCAATCGCACCGAATGGCGGGTATGGCGCCTGATAAGCAAATATTAGAAAAAAGACATAAACTACACCACTAACAAAAAGATATGTACAGCACAAATGGACATACGTTTCTGTCCATGGAGGACATCACTCGCCGATCCGGTTTTAGCCAAGGCGATGTGCTCATATGTTTTGTCCGGTTTAAGGATACGGCTGCCAAATCTACTCGGACTGCTAGGGCTTCGTGCACGCTGTTCGTTATTAAAAACATTTAGCAGCGATCGCTGTTTATTTACTGCTGCGAAATTTGTCGAAGCATTGCCTGCATGAGACTTTTGCCAAAGTATCGGCTTCATTTTTAAATAATTTGCTTGCGGTTTTGTCGACGTTTCCAATGAGCTCATAGAAACAGAGAGTCCATTTGCTTTTATACTATAAACAAATATCTATGTATCTATAAATTCACTGAAATGATGCATTTACATAAATATGTATGTACAATGTATTAATGCACATACATAAATGAAAAAATGAACATGGGACGATGCACATAAATATAGGTATATAAATAATTACGAATAGAAATAGCGCATGGGAGTAGCGGCTTAATAAGCCGAGAAAAGTTTGTTAACCAAGTAATATGTAGGCTTTTTGTACGTATTCTCATAAAAGGGAAGGGAAGAGAATTTCATCAAAAAATGTGTGATAGTTCTATGATTTCATAAATAAAGCAAATGTAAACAATTTGCATTTGAACGATTCTAGGCGCTCCCCTTTTCCAAATGATCATAGTATAAAAATTGCAGGGTAATCACTTCATAAGACAAACTATTTTTGATGGACGGTTACATTTTTATCGCAACATGGTAATTGGAGTTCTGTACTTTTTTGTTATTTTATGAGCAATGAGAATCATCAAGCACGAAAGCACGAATGGAGTAATGCTTAAAACAAAAAAAATACATACATATATACACATAAAAGTCCCACAGTTGCAGATGATTTAAGATAAATAGTAATGCATTATATATTTTCACAGTTATAGACACTTACATAACTTTGGTTAGTTTTGAATAAATGGTTGCCATTTATATGCATGATCGGGTAAATATATGTATGTTTATAAGTAGGTGTTTGTATGTAAATAATAATAAAGCTTCGGCAATCACATAGTTAATACCATACAAAGATTGATTATAGTGCTGGGTTGCATCTCAAGCGATAGGATACGAGTAGCTGTTTAATGACAAATCTATGTCAAGTTTATGATAATGGTCGTGGACAATGGGTGCATCAAATGGAGCATTCTGAGTGTGAGGTACAATACACAAATGTGCCATTCATTCTTTCCCAGTCTTACGTCTTTGGCATTAGAAATTCCTTGTGTGATGTGGCACTGACTTTTTGTTCGTTAGTCCTTCGATCGAAGGTCACATTTGGCACTGGCGAGATGGAACTATCGCTGCGTTCATGATCATCTGCATCGCTAAGCTCGTTAATTGGTTTGAAATGAGTGCCATTTGAAGCGTCTTTATAAAAATCTAATAACATACATATGTATGTATATGTTTGAGAGTTTTTAGATAAAAAAGAATTATCCCAATTTTTACCTTTTATTGCGCACACAATTTCATAGGTAACGTGAGGTGGATAGTCTTTAAGCAAATCAAGCGCTGTGTTACCTGCACCGTCAGTAGCATTTGGATTGATACCAGCTTGCAATAGAACATTGACCACAGCTTTTTTGCCGCAAAGTGCTGCCTCGTGCAGAGCAGTTCCCGAATTCGTCATAATGTTAACGTCCACTCCAGCGGCTAGTAGCGCTTCTACTACTTTTTTGTGTCCATTACGACTAGCTAAATGCAAACATGTGTGAGTAAAGAGATGTGTTGATGGCGAAATGGTGTATGGGGTGCACTCAGCTACCGGGCTGGAGGGTGTATTACTACCAGACGAGCGATAAGGAGCCAAAAGTTCTGGATGTGTACGTATTAGTGTTTGAACTGCCTGCAACCGTCCGAATTGCGCTGCTAGATCTAGTGCAGTTTGAAAACTATTGTTGCGGACAGTGGGGTCCGCGCCGTAGGCAAGCAAAATGGCTAAAACAGTGTTGTGACCGTGTTGTGCGGCACAATGCAGTGGAGTTTCATTATCAATAGTCTGCAAATGAAATCAGAATAAAATTTAGAAGAAAATTAAGAAAGGTTTGTTTCAAACCTGCGCATTTGGATTAGCTGCTTTGGGCGTTTGCAGTAATAGTTGTTTAACTATCTCATCATGACCTGCCCATGCTGCTAAATACAATGGAGTTGAGCCTCTTATGTCTGGCATGTCAGGTACAGCATTATGAGCCAATAAGATACGCACGATGTTGATGTGGCCATTCAGACAGGCGTGATGTAGTGGGGTATATCCATTAACATCTTGACTGTTTATACATGGACTGCGACGAAAGCTTTTGACGAAAATTAAAAAGTTAGTTGTATGTA